TTTTTTCCACTCATGTTACAGTCTCACAGGAAGCCCACAATCCTGCAAAACAAAAAGGACAGCACGAAGGCAGTGGCAGATAGCAAAGAGTGTTTAAACAACCTTGCATGTATTATTTGTTACATATGACTTCACAGTTGAGCTTATCGAGTGAGAAGTTTGCAGATAATGTCATTAGAGTGGTTGTGACAATATCACTTACAGGCAGTACAATAGTAATCATGTCAAATGTTTTACCTGATGATAATTTTTGAGTTCAAATGATATAAACATGTTCAGAAGAACCATTAGAGTGGTTGTGACAATATCACTTACAGGCAGTACAATAGTAATCATGTCAAATGTTTTACCTGATGATAATTTTTGAGTTCAAATGATATAAACATGTTCAGAAGGAAACTAACCTGTAGACATCATACAGTTCCATGCAAGACTTTAAGGCTTGGGAAAAAAGGAATTCGTGTTTTTATTTTTGTAATCAAATTATTCATCCATTTATCTAGCTCTATTACATCTAGAGTAAAATTTCCAGCTACTTTAATCCATATCCTACGAGCAATAAGTACAGCCTGTTAACCCATGATTTTCCACATCACTTTCATGGATGGTTCGCCTTTTCAGAAAAACCTTCTATGAGAAACAGATTTTTTTCTATTAGCCTGAAACTTTCTTTTGTAGGGGTCAACCTCTTTTATTGTTGCTAACTACATTTTTATCAAAAAGATTTTCTACAATTAGCAAGTTTAGTAGATTATCATTAGTAAACATGTATATAGACCACACATTTGAAAAGTAATGTTCGCACGTGCAGGTTGGCTGGCTCATCGATCGTTCTGTCGCAATTTGTAATAAAAATGTCGCACTTGTTAATAAAACTAACTGTCGAAATTTGGGATGGATGATCAGGGGGCAAGTAGAGACAATAAAAATAACGAAATACTATTTGGCGACACCTTGCACTAGATAGAGCTAGAGGAAGACAGACATGCATATATCAATATAGAATGAGTCCATGCTTAGCATGCGTATGTCGAAATATGAATGCACGCGGGAAGTTTGGAGAGCACGAGAGCACTGTAGCTTGAGTGCAGACAAGTTGTGCTGGGAAAAAATGAGTTTAATATAAGTGTGTCGAGTTTACCAAGTAATCGTGTTCTACTCGAAAACTATGAATAAATAACAAGGCGAAGACGACCAATGAATATTTCGAGACCAAATCTGTATCCAAAAAAAATTGGAAATTTTTTGTTCGAAAGCGAAAAACGAACGAATTTTTTGCATGTAGGTGACCGCATAGTAGACATGGTGAATTCAGTATTCTTGAATCGTTGTTTATGGCCAGAAAATTGCAAAATAGGTTTGTCTTGGAAATTTTGAAAATTCTGAAATCGTATGGTTTTAAAATTAAAATTAGAACTTTCTTTTGAACCGGCGCTGTGCAGCAGATTTACCCTACTGGAATTGTTGTTTAAAAGAATTTACCATTAGAAAATTGGGTAGCTTTGTGTTAAAAATTCTGAAATTGGTGTTATTTCCAAAGAAAATCTTCCATTGAACTACACTTTTGGGATATTTTAACACTTGAAAAAAATAAAATACCGTTAATTCTGATGAAGAGACTCCAAGTTGCAAAGTCTCAGTTGGAATTCAGAAAACTCAGTTTTGTTATCAGCCATAATTCACACTCCGTTTAAGAATGAAGAATCGTCAACTCAAAAACTAATTTCTTCGCTTGATAGAGCTACATTCTCAATACATTTTCAAAACGAGTATTATTTGACATATTCTCTTCTCATTTTGAGCTCTAAAAGGTCTATTTCAAACGGGATAGAACGGAAAACTAATCCTGAAAGTTTTAAAACTCGACGGGAACTATAAGCCTAAGTGAGATTGCACACGTCATGTGGTAGATGCACGGCCGTGCTGCACGTAAGGATTTTTACCATGGTAGTTCCATAGGAAATAGCTGGGACTCATGCGTGCGTTATGTCATATTTACCTTTCTCACAATAGTCCCCATAGAAACCTTGTTCACAGCGACAGTCGTAAGAATTGTATTTGTAATTAGGGATGCAGATTGCCCCGTTTAGGCATGGCGAAGAAGAACAATGAGACTGGAATAAACAGAAAGTATCTTTCGTAAAGACCACGAAATACCTGGACAGTACTTTTGATGAAAATCTTTTTAAAATTATCAGCTGCAACTGCGTTAGAAAGAGTTCTTACCTGAAAAGACAAATGCTGCGAACTCTTGTTTTCGTTGTAATTCCCGGCGTCTCTGTACTTATCAGAGGACACCAATTCGCACCAAAACTCTCCATTTGCTCCTTTGGAGGCGGCCATGTTTATCGCAAGGCACAAAGCGTTTCTGACGCATTCAAATGTACAATCTAACAGGTCGTACAAAATGAATAGCCGCACTCGAGGTGCGGTCAAATAATGGAGTTCTTCTCTTGAAAAGTGACGCTGGTTGAATGTCTTCCCAACAGGATCAAGTCTTGCTTCAAACTGTTTATTTCTGAGGTGATTAAAACGAGGAAATTTAGTTTTATTTAAATGATATGCTATTTGACATGAATTACTATTTTCCAGTCGAATTGCGATGGACAGAGGCTCTTGCTAGTCTGTACAGGTCGAAGTCTTCAGTTAACATTTGGCATAAGTGAAATATATTGGCTAAGACCCTTCTCGTATCTGTACTTTATAATTTAAAACAAAGAATAGCGTATCCAAGAGACCCTATTCTTTGAAAATGAATTGTTGAACTCGGGCCGATGCTGGGTGCAAAAAAGGTGATTGCCTTACAAGTGACTAATAAAGTGGGATTTTCCCTCGGTTTCTCTTTCGCGTTCGCGCTCCAGAAGCCCAATTTATTAGTCAGACAGGTGCAGTGTGATAAACTAAGTTTGAAATGCATATGTCCTTGGGAGAACGCTTTGCTTGAGAACATTTCCTTAAAAGGAAGACGATTTCTAAATCAGTTACGTTATTTGGCAAGGTAGAAAGCAAACATGAAATTTTAAGTAGCGAGGGAAGTTTTAAGAATGCCCTCATAAAGGAGACCACCTGAATGCTAAAATATCTTATCTCAAATAGCTCTTTATAAAATCCTTTTATGTATGGTTTATTCTAATCTTCTCCTTGTATAACTAAGCTCGCAAATTGCATGTTGTTTTAAACTGGGACGAGGATGGTAATGTAAAATAACGTTTCAGCAAACGATGCAAAACAGGATCAAATCGAAATTTTGTTCAAATTAAAACAGGTGCTCATGAAGGTGCATGGAAATGCGACTGATAAATATTCTTACCAAAAAGCACTGTTTTAAATCCCAGTTTTCCGATGATCTTATTTGTAATTTTTGACCGATGCAAGATTACAGAAAATTGAAATTTACTCTACATTCAACCGCTATAAGAGATTATAAGAAGATAAGGAAGGCTTATATGTAAAAGATATCGTAAAGCTTGGAAACGTAGTCTTTTTGGAATAAATTGTGATCTAGCGTGGGTATCATTAATCTTCGTCATGACATTTTGGGAAAAAATCACGTGTAAAAAATGTCATGCACGTTTTTGGTTTTCGATTTTTTCTTCTTTTGGAAGAGCCCGCCTCATCTACGGCTTCATGTTTAGAAAGGGATCTTGGTGCTATAAAGGAACAAGAAAAAATCGTAGAAAAATTTGAATGAGACCTAACAAATGATAACATATTTACCTGAAGAACAGTTAGCTGCTGTGAAAAAAGAAGGGAAGAGAAAGAAAATGAGATGACGCTTGAAATCAACAGACATGATGGATGGCTGAGGTACTTGGTGAAGTTTAGCTTTCCATCCGCTCTAAGTGTCCCATTAAAGTCGCTTTTCAAGTTGTATATACACTCAAATTAAATGTAGAGGAAAACGACTGAAGTTTTCGTCTGGTTTTTATTTACTTCTGGGTACACAATGAGGGATAGTTCCCCTTTAGCTTGTGCTTTAAATCTAATTTTCAACTGTTCAAAAGAACTTGGCGCTTATTGGCTCTCTATTAGGTTCTTGCCAATTTATTGTGGCCAATTAAGTTCGAAACTTACCCCTTTACAGGTTAAGGTCTTGCGAAAATTTAAATTCGCCGCATGTTTAACAGCTGTTTTACTTTAAATTGGTTTCATTTTCGTGTGGTAGCGTGAATGGTTGAATACTTACGTGGGATGTAATTTGTGAATCAAAATGGGTATAAATTACACTCAAATTAAACGTTGAGGAAAACAACTGAAGTTTTCGTCTGGTTCTTATTTCCTTCTGGGTACACAATGAGGGATAGTTCCCCTTTAGCTTGTGCTTTACATTTAGTTTTCATCGGTTTGAAAGAACTTGGCGCTTATTGGCTCTCTATTAGGCTCTTGTCGATTTATTGTGGCCAATCAAGTTCGAAACGTACCCCTTTACAAATATAAGACTATCGCTAGCACTTAGGACCTTAGCACTTGTGTTTAAAAGGAAACTCGAGAGGGTTTTCCGCAATTAGAGGCGAGTGCCTACTAATAAAAGACGTCAGAACTGTTGATCTTGTCATCAGGATAATGTTTCAATAATTGTATGGAACTATTTTAGGCAATTTTAAGAGTGTTTGTCCGGTTTTCCGGTTTTTGCAATATTAGCTCACACTTTTTTATCTGGTCACGCATTTTGAACAATAGGGACCTTAAGATTTGAGGACGGCGGATGTCTACGACGACTGTCAAGACCGAGGGGGACTGGGAAGAGGTTCCCGTCGCAAGGCGCGAAAAATCCTTAAGAGACCAAGTCGAAGGCGCGGGCGGCATTGTTTACATATTTTCGATTTTTATCATAAAGTACTTCGGTCGTGTCTGCCTTTAGAGAGATTCGTAGCATTCTTCTGCAAAGTTTCGATGATGGCAAAATATCAGAGAACGAGTTCCTTCTTCTTTATGACGTTAACACATCCAAAAACCCAGATTTTCCTTATGAAAGTTATGGGAAATTTGACCTTAATGATATGGATGACAGTGAGTGTTTATTCGAGTTTCGTTTTCGTAAGAGTGACCTTCTCGTCCACTCTGAGGCCCTACATCTTCCTAACTACATTACATGTCAACAAGGAACAATATGCGATGGAATTGAAGGGTTGTGTATCACACTTCGAAGGTTTGCCTACCCATGTAGACTCAGTGATTTAATTCCACGATTCGGCTGCCCAATTCCAGAGCTTAGTATGATTTCCAGCCTTGTGGTGGATACAATTTATCCGGAACATAATCAAAGAATAACTCAGTGGAACGATACACTTCTGAACCCAGCACTTCTAGGAACGTACGCTCGTGCAATTCAGCAAAACGGTAGTCCATTACTCAACTGTTTTGGTTTTATAGACGGAACAGTACGGCCAATTTGTGACCTGACCAAAACCAAAGGATTGTGTACAATGGGCATAAGCGAGTACATGGTCTAAAATACCAATCTGTGGTACTATCCAATGGTATTACAGCCAAAATGTATGACCCAGTGGGTAATTTTATAATTGAAGTAATAAATCTGTGTGGTTGAAGTTTAAAATTTCATGCCAATCATAAATTACAATATCACTTATGTTGGTCTCATTTTAGATGGCAAAAAGCATGATTCAGCCATGTTGGTCGATTCTGGTCTTCTTGATGAACTCGAGCAACATGCGTTCCAACAACAAGAGAACCAATGGCTCTCTATGGCGACCCGGCCTGTCCTCTGTGTGTTCACCTCCAGGTACCTTACCGAGGCGCAGGAATTACACCACAAATGGAGCTATATAACAAAGCCATGAGTTCTGTTCGCATGTCTGTCGAGTGGCTTTTTGGGGACATTGTAAATTATTTTATATTTTTAGACTTTAAGAAAAATTTTAAGATCTCACTTTGTGCAGTTGGCAAAATTTACATTGTGGCTGCCATTCTGCGAAACGCCTTAACCTGTATGTACGGCAACTCAACTTCAGAGTATTTTGCTTTACACCCTTCCACTATTCACGATCATTTTGCTTGATCAGGAACACATAACGTCCAGTGTCTGTAACCTTAAGTCTTTAATCAAGTTTATTTGAATCAAGAAGTCTGAACATGAAGCTGATATAACACGGAAAACCTAACAATAAAATAAAAGCTAGTGTACAAAACAAAATCAAGAGACATGTGCCTGAAATTGCTGAAAACTACATTCATCATTGTACAAAATCAGGCCATGACTTAGTTTTGTTTTTTTAGAAGTTTTATGATAATTTGAGACTACTACTGTAGCATTAGCGTGAACATCTTCTGAAAATTTTGCATTTGTTCTTGTTGCTGTTTAGTTTGCTGCAGCATGACCTGCATCAAATCGTGATGTTGCTTTTTGGACTGCTCCTCCTTCTTACTTTCAACCTCAAGTCGCTGCTTCTGTAGCTGTATTTCTTCCATTTTCCATTTCTGCATGAGGTCGTTCTTTTCTCGCAAATATGCCACCGTGTTACTACCACTTCTTGACGTTTTGCTCTTGCTGCTATTTCATTCTCTACCTCATCTTTCCTTTGTCTTTTCTTTTCTGTGTCCCGCCAAGGTTCTCAAGAGCTCTGTATCTCATTTCCGCTGCTTTGGCACTATCGACTTTCTTTTTGTCATTTTGCGCTGTTTCTTCAACCACAACTTCTTTTTCTACTATCTCCTCAAGTGCTTTTTCAATGTCACTCCGTATCAAGAAAAGCGGATCAACTTAAAGTTAAGCAGGCTTTGTTTAAAAATTAAAAATGACCGTATATGGCTACTTTGGAACAATGGCGGAAACAGCTTTAAAATACACGCGGGATTGTTCAAAATTTCCGATTATCATACGAGCGGCAGATTTAAACCATCGGCAAAACTGATGATAAGAGAAATCCTCCCCGTGGGGGTGATTCTGGTAAATTTTTTAGGATGTAAATAGTCACGGTGGGGTGGATGGTGGAGCGACTGTAGCTTTCGTATCTGAAGTAAAGAGATGTCACCGTTTTTCCTTTATATTGCTTAAAACTGGCGAAAGACATATTCAATTAGAAGCTCACTGTGCGATGCAAAAGTGATGAGAGCATATGTAACCTGGTATTAACGTCCGAAGCCTACCACGCCGTTGAATCATGTAGAAGACTATCGTCATTTGCTCGATTGTTTAATGTGCGTGTATTTAAATTTCGCGCTGCATGAATGAGATTTTGTTCCTGATGTGCACAAAAAGGTTCATATTCTCCTTCCTCTAGCGTGTGATTTAAACCTGGTAATGCTCGCGCGTCGCTAATTCATGTAGTTTTACGGGTATCATTCTCTTTCCGTATTTCAATTCAACGAAAGGAGTTAGAAAAAACAATGGCGAGTGGAAATAGTCGCACACGCTCGTCAATTTCTCCCATTCGACTCGGCTGTTCAATCCGAGTATATTTAAATTTCGCGCTTCGTAAGCAAGAAAAACTGAATAATCTCCTCACAAAATTTTTTTTTGTTTACACAAACCGACATCTAATTGATACCTATTTATCTTTTTGTGTGTTAGCAGGAGGTCAGATTTTTTTCGCAAAGTCATGTTCTGCCAGTTTCTTTCTTTTTATTTTGCTCAACAGGTTACGTGTATTCAATCACGTTACTGACGCTGTCAGATTCATCTACCAAATTTTAGAGCGATCAAATTTCGCGCTACGAAAGTTATCCTATTTTCTTAGTTTGCATAAAACGCTGCGCCGTCGCCTCCCATAATTTGCTTTCGCGCTATAAACCGCCTCCTAACAGAAACTCAATTGAAATCCTAGCGTGACAATTTAAAGTTGAGGCGCTTTGAAACACTAGACGAAATTAAAAACAGGTAATTAACTGTTAACAACAAAAAAGCTGACGTTTTGAGTGTTAGCCCTTCGTCAATCGCTTAAATTACCTGCTATACTCTCCCACCGACGCAGCGTCACAGTTTCTTTAGAGACTTAACCCCTTCAGTCCACTCCATGCTGATTCTAAAGATAAAACTGCAAGCAGAACCCTTTTTTGTTCACCAAATATGCAAGACACTTTCACAAACATAAATAATCGAGAGATTATCATTTACTAAGCGTAATTCGCGTTGAGTTTCACCACATTTATTGTTAATTATTTACTCCATAATGCGCAAAATATTCGAAAATTTTTAAATATGTTTTACAAAAGGTGTGTAATCAACGCACGTTTTGTACGAAATGGCAAACTAGTTTTTTTGTTGTCGCAGACAACACAGCTACGGCGGGAATTTACGGGGAACGGCTATCGGAAGTAGGTAAACACGCATTCAAACTTCCGCCCGCCGTCGTAGACATCCGCCGTCCCCGGATCTTAAGGTCCCTAATACCGCTGATTCGAAACACCTCTATGTCGATAATCCCTGATGACTGCATTTTGACGGTTTTCTTTGTGTGCTTATTGGTGCAAATGAATGGTGTGGTATGAATGCTGTGTAATACTTTGATCTCATTGGCCAAACAATCAGAATGTATGGCGTAGCTTTGGAACTCTATACGAATCAAATTCTGCCGTTTTGCTTCCTTTTGCCGGTTAGTACCCTAATGACTTCGCCTTCCTGATGTCTCTTTTGCCCGAGTTATTTGTTGGTCTGACTTTCACTTTTTTTAGATGGAACAATTCCCCTTTCTATACAGAAATAGCCTCACTCAGCTGATGAAAATAAATGCTGAATGAGGCAATTTTGGTTCACGGTCGTTTCGATACAAGTCGTTTGGTACAAATCGAAGTCGATTCGTTATACATGTAAAGTCCAGTCAATACAAACTCACGTTACTTCAAGTCGTTCCGAGACAGAATATTATATTAGAGCGAATACAAACCTCAGTTGTAAATAAAACAAATGCATACCTCTGCGAACCGAATGAAACGACCGGACACCGCAATTTTCATTTGATTCGCAGCCGCTATTGCTGTTTACAACTCGCGCTACAAAATTTCGTGGGAAAGATCGCGCGTGGGATGCATCAGTTTAGAACCAGTCTCCCCTGGCATAAAAACCCTTTCGAGTCTCCTTAAATTTTATCAACACTTGTTGAGGTCCCTTCATTGTGAAGAAAGCTGCAAGATTTCCGCACAGCCCCCTACTTTATCATGCATAGAGTTCTTGGATAATATGGCGAAAACAATTGATTGCCTTTGTTTTAGAACAGTAAATGATTATGCAGATCTTTTTTTCCAACAACCCAACCGCCAAGAATGTCTATGTCTTGCAAGCTGCATCCAAAAAATTCCATTGTTTTGAAGTAAAAGGAGCACTCTCACGGTCTACGTCGGTCAGTCTTAGGTTTGACCACTTTCTGTTAAATATCACTGCTTTCACTGAATTTTCTGTGTGGTTAGTAGTGTAACTAGGTTTATTTTAGTTACCCTTTCCTCGGGGTATAGTGCTGCTGCATTAGATGAGGAATACGTTCTCCTATGATGAAAACAAGAATAAGCTTTATAACTTCGATCTTAAAATTCAAAATTTCAGACAAAGCTGGATGTATGGAAAGCAAGAAACTTTACATTGTTTTGAAAAGCTTTGATCATTAGGTCACTAGTGCTATCACAGATAGTATATGCAGCGTCCAATGTCAACGTCTCATCGAAATCAAACATGTAATCATAAGAGTGAGTTGTTCACATTCCTCGGAAACAACAAAAGGGACAAAATTAAGAGAGAAAATTTGTATTTCCAACGCTTTTCTGATGGCATTTCTAAATTTCGCCTGATTGATCTCTGACATCGACAGTCTTAACATATCAATAACGCCTCTTTCGGAGAAAAAACTGTAACCTATTAATGTACTTTTTTGGAATGGATGCATTGTCTCGTGAGATTTTAAGAAATCACAGTTGGTCCGAATTACAAACAGAATACTACGTTTGACTTCTTTTTTGAGGTAATCATTGAGACAGGGGAATTGACTGGTATTTCCAAAAATGTGAATTTGTTTTGTTTAGTTTTAAAGTTTTGTTTTAATTTTTTTTTGTTTTGAATGTTTTTGTGGCATGGAAAAGATAAGTTAACAAAGCCTGAGATAGGGGAAATCTCTATTCTGCTAATGAAAGTTTTTCCAAGAAAATTCAAGCGTTATATTAACGGAACTTTAGACTCAATTATGTGATATACGTAACTTATCAAACAATTGGTAAAATTTTGTTGTCCTATTGACGATTGTTAGACTTTGGTTCTCAACAGTTTTACTGTTACCGTTACTTTTAATCCCACTTGAACCTTACATGAGCCGACTCGGTATCGTTTGTAGGCAAAACGAAAGAGCGCGTTCCTCGATGTTCTACATCACCATTTCTCAAAAAACAGTTATTTTAGGTGCCCTTTAGTGCGTTATTATGAATGTGATTCTTTTGAAATTAAAACAGCGAACGTTAGCCATAAGTGCGTCCGTTTTTGCGTGTTAGTCATTTTTATCCATGACAATAGTAATTTGTCCTTTGTTGGTTGATAATCTGTTTCCTTGCCGTTTTTTCAGCTATTAAAACGTGACCTTTCGGCGATGACATGTCACCATCATCAAATAACGTGCAAATGAGAAAAGATTACTGATAAGGTAAATTTATACAAGACGAAAGGGTGAAATACATCATTAAAGTGAGGAGACCAAAAGAAAGGAAGAACTTATTATGGAGTTTGTTTGGAGTTTGGAGCAATGGAATTTGTTTGAATGTTCGAGGTTGGTATCTTCTCTGTAATAGGCCACATTTCATCAGTAAGGCACACAAACTTTCCACGGCGTTTCTTGTTATAACATAGTTAATAAATTCATCGATTGCCGGAGCATGCTTAACGATCCTATTTAGCACGCTTATGGCGACAGCAAACAATTATTTCGAGATTGAAAATTGGCGACAAAGTGCCCTCACAATATGGCTGCGAGTGTTAAGATTTGCGAGATGTTTTTTCCGTTCCCTCCTGACTGGAGATGCACCGTAGGGTCTTCTCAGTGACAACCAGTTTTTCAGAAGGATACTGGATTTATAAAAGCAATAGACGTTTAACACTTAAAAGCGACAAAAAGGGGCTTTGGAGTAAACAACGAAATCTGACAACTTTATTTGGATTCCATGCTTCCTTTAGCTGAACTAAATAGGAAAGTTGCTTTTTTTTATCACTCATTCCGAGGTAAATGAGTAGTTTACATAAAGCGCATTTAACTCTATGTAGCTTTCCTGTCTTTATAACCCGTGCAGGAACGAAGAGACCTGGCAACCAGCGCACAGAGACTGCGGTAATGATTCCACGTGCGTCTGTGCAGCGGGTTCCAATGGAAAATTCTGCGAGCAAAGTGAGTAAAGTTCCGGTAAATTTTAATTTATCAGTTACAAAATAAAAGGATAAAAAGAAACATTAAATTTTGCAGATTTTCAAACCATGTTTTCACGAGAGGATTGCCCTGCTCCAGTCTCCCGCTCTTCGGCTTGCTTTCGTCTGGAGCGTACCCCCCGCTACGCCCCGTGATTGTAGGTTCACTCTAACTCACTTCAAAACAAAGTTTTTGTGAATATTCTTTCTTTTGCCCCATATACTATCTTAGATGTCACTCTTAGCCTGGATGGATCCTGGATAGTTGTTGTAGCCTTGAAAGGTTACAATGGCAAGTATCCCAGTCGTAAACACCGATCGGAAATTGATTACATTGAGATAGCAAAATGTCAGACGGATAGTACCACAAGATTTGTAGCCATGGAGTCCAATGGCAAGCTGATGCTTACGACAGACAATGGGAAGTATTTGTCGAGAGTAAGACGTGGAAATGTCGATTATATTGAAGCTTCCAAGACACATCCTGATACATGTATTTTCAGCCAGTTTACAGTACATGATCAATCAGACGGAATCGTAGTATTGCAAGCAGACAATGGAAAATACTTTAGTTTAATCGATCGCAACTCAAGAAACTCTTCTGAGGCAGCGAGGGATAACACTGATTCTTTCTGCAGATTGGCGTGCTTGATTCAGGAGTAGATCGAATAAGACTCTAATAACGATTTTCGTGCGACCCCCATTATTTCAAAACTCGGCAAACTTTTAGTCGACACGTGTGAGAATCAATCGCTCTGACGAAGGGCTAACGCCCCATACGTCAGCCTTTAAACTCTTTACGGTGGCTAATTTACGTTTTCAACTCAGTTTTTACCACTATATTACGTGCGAGAATCGTTTGACTGCAAAAGATTAAATTTTGATCTTGAGCGCTCTGAAGATAGCCGGTCAGAGCATAGAGAAACTGTTTTCAGCCACTTAAAGTGATAAAATTTTCGATCAGGTATGAGTGATAGGAAGGTTTTTTTTTCGCAAGAGAATCTTAGCAAAAGAGTTGATCAATGTCGGCCTTTCTAGTCTCACCCAAAGTTGGTTCAAATCATTGTATTGTAACTCCTGAACGTAGTGTGTTTTCACGAGTCACGGTCGCAATTTGCAAGGATGATTGCAGGTAAAGAAAGCATTGACTGATAGTACTTACTGTTTCCTC